CCATCAACTGCACAAGGGCTGAGGAGTGCAGGCACACGGCGGGGGACTGACCGGAAGCTCTACCCGCAGTTTCCCTATGCTTTTGAGGTCTTATATAAGAAATCTTTGCTCAGACCAGTGCCATGGATTGTTTCCCCACTATTTTTTTCTAGTAATTTTATAGTTTCACATCTTAGATTAGTCTTTAATCCATTTTAAATTGGTTTTTCTATATGCTGAGAGATAGGGGTCTAGTTTCATTCCTCTGCATATGGATATCCAGTTTTCTCGGCACCATTTATTAAAGTGACTTTTTCCCCCAATACATATTTTTGGCACATTTGTAAAAAATGAATTTACTATGAATGTGTGGGTTTATATCTGTGTTAAATTTGAAGTCAAATAATGTGATGTCTTCAGCTTTGTTCTTTTCTGCTTAGGATTGCTTTGGCTATTCTGGGTCTTTTGTGGTTCCATATAGTTATGGTGACCATAACAGTGTCCATGTCACTGTTTCCCCAACTCCAGGGAGCATTACACAGAAAGAGACCCTTTGTAATTAAGAGAAAGAGAGGGAAGAGCATGAAAGACTTTGTCTGGTAACCTAGGGAATTCTCCTTTATCTTAATAAAGTACATCACAGCAGTGTACTAAGGAGTCTCCAAGAGTCATAGTATTCCTGGGCTTAGGGATCCCACTAGTGCTGAAATAGTATAGTGACCATAGGCTTAGGTTACAACATTCAATCCCTTTTGACTTCATGAAAAGCCTTCTCAAGAAGGATGGTACAAATAAGCCCAGAATGAGAAGATTAAAATAAATAATTAACTCTTTAATGTCCAGACATTAAAGAACATCTACAAGCACCAAGAACATCCAGGAAAACATGACCTCAAGAAACTAAAAAAGGCACCACTGACCACTCTGGAAGTGAAGGAGATATATGACCTTTCAGACAGGAAATACAAAGGAGCTATTTTGAGGAAGCTCAAAGAACTTCAAGATAACACAGAGAAGGAATTCAGAATTCTATCGAGAAATGTAAGAGAGGCTGAAATAATAAGGGAAAGTCAAACAAACTCTAGAACTGAAAAATTCAACTGACAAACTGAAAAATTCATCAGAGTATCTTAACAGCAGAATTGGTCCAGCAGAAGGAAGAACCGAGCTAAGACAGGCTATATGAAAATACATAGAGAAAAAAAGAATCTGAAAAAAATGAAGCATACCCACAAGATCTAGAAAACAGTGTCATAAGGGCAAATCTATGATTTATTGGCCTTAAAGAGAACATAAAGAGAGAGACTGGGTTAAAAGTTTATTCAAAGAAATAACAACAGAGAACTTTTCAAACCCAGAAAAAAACATGAATATCCAGGTACAAGAAGGTTGAAAAACACTAAGAATATTCAATCCAAATAAGATGACCAAAGGCATGTAAATCAAACTCTCAAAGGTCAAGGATAAATAAAGAATCCTAAAAGATGCAAAAAGAAGAAGGAGAAGGAGGAGGAGGAGGAGGAGAGGGGGGAGGAGAAGGAGAAGGAGGAAGAGGAGGAGGAAGAGAAGGAGCAGCAGCAGCAGCAGCAGCAGCAAGTAACACAAAGGAGCTCTGATACATTTGGCAGCACACATCTGAGCAGAAACCTTACAGGCCAGGAGGGAGTGGGATCATTCATACATTCAAAGTGCTGAAGGAAAAAAAAAAATCTTCCAACCTAAAATACCATATCCGGCAAATTTATCTGTTAACTCTGAAGGAGAAATAAAGTCTTGGCCAGACAAACAAAAGCTAAGGGATTTCATCAATACGAGACAAGTCTTACTAGAAATCCTTAAGGGAGTTTTTCAATCTGAAAGAAAAGCATGTTAATGAGCAATAAGAAATCATCTGAAAGTATAAAACTCATTGACACTAAGTACACAGACAACTACAGAATAACACTGCAACTGTGGTGTACAAACCACTCATATCTTTAGTAAGATGACTAAAACACAAGTCAACAAAAAATAACTGATAAACAAATGTAGTAAAGCTTCAAGATACAAAACGAACATACAAAAATCAATAGTGTTTCTATTTGAACAATTTGTGAAAGAAAACAAGAAAAGTAATCCCATATAATCACAAATAAAATAAAATACCTAAGAATAAACTTAATCAAGGAAATAAAAGATGTCTACAAGGGAAACTGTAAAACACTGATAAAAGAAATTGAAGAAGACACAAAACAATGAAAAGATGCTCCATGTTCATGGATTGGAATAATCAATATTGCTAAAATGTCCATACTACAAAAAGCAATCTGCAAATTCAAAGCAAACCATATCAAAATACCAATAACTTTCTTCACAGAAATAGAAAAAAAATCCCAAAATGTATTACTATATGGAACCACAAAAGACCCAGAATAGCCAAAGCAATCCTAAGCAGAAAAGAACAAAGCTGAAGACATCACATTATTTGACTTCAAATTTAACACAGATATAAACCCACACATTCATAGTAAATTCATTTTTTACAAATGTGCCAAAAATATGTATTGGGGGAAAAAGTCACTTTAATAAATGGTGCCGAGAAAACTGGATATCCATATGCAGAGGAATGAAACTAGACCCCTATCTCTCAGCATATAGAAAAACCAATTTAAAATGGATTAAAGACTAATCTAAGATGTGAAACTATAAAATTACTAGAAAAAAATAGTGGGGAAACAATCCATGGCACTGGTCTGAGCAAAGATTTCTTATATAAGACCTCAAAAGCATAGGGAAACCAAAGCAAAAAATGTACAAATGGGATCACATCAAGCTAAAAGGCTTCTGCACAGCAAAGGGAATGATCAACAAAGGGAAGAGACAATCCATCGAACAGGAGAAAATATTTGCAAGCTACCCATTTGACAAAGAAATAATAACCAGAACACATAAGGAGCTCAAACAACTCAATAGGGAAAAAACTAATAATCCCATTAAAAATGGGCAAAAGATCTGAATAGACATTTCTCAAAAGACAACATTAAGAAATGCTCAACAGCACTTATTATCATAGAAATACAAATTAAAACTACAAAGAGATACTATTTCACTCCAGTTAAAATGGCTTTTATCCAAAAGAGAGGGAATAACAAATGCTGGCAAATACGTAAAGAAATAGATAAACAAAACATGGTACATACACAAAATAGAATATTATTCAGCCATAAAAAAAATGAAATATTGACTGGGGGACATTATGTTAAGTCAAATTAACCATGCACAGTAGGCTAAATATGTGGGAACTAAAAACAAAACAAAGACTGAACTCATGGAGATACAGTGCCAAATAATGTTTCTTTATCAGAGGCTGGGAAGGGAAATAAAGGAATGGCTAATGGGTATAAAACACAGTCAGACAGAAAGAGTAAGATCTACTATTCAGTATCCCAACAGGGTGGCTACAGTTAACAATAATTTATTGTATATTTCAAAAAAAGCACAGGAGTGGAACTGGAATGTTCCTAATGCAAAGAAGTGATAAATGCTGGATGTGATGGATACCCCAATTATCCTGATTTGAACATTACACATTGTATGCTTATATCAAAATGTCACATGCACCCCATAAATATGTACAACTATCACATATTCATAATTTTTAAATATTAAAAACTTGTTAAAATTTTTAAATATAGGTTGTCACAAATTTGATTATCACTTTAGAATAACTTCTTAGGAGTTGAATTCCTAGCCAAAGAAGACTCATTTTTTTATATTTTTAATTGTGCAGATATGTATATTTTCAAAGCTTTTACAGTGCCTAATGCAAAGTCTAAAAAAGTTCACAAAGGAAAAGAAGAATCAAGTTCCACAGTTTCGAGGAAAGGCTCTAGAAATACACAATTAATAACAATTTTTGTGTGCAGGTACCACAACCTGGTCAAAGGGTAAACCTCTGCAACAACAACAATAATAAAACAATAGCAGTCAGGCATGATGGCTCACACCTGTAATCCCCAGCACTTTGGGAGGCTAAGGCAGGCAGATCGCTTGAGCTCAGGAGTTCATGACTGGCCAGGGCTACATAGCAAAACCATGCTTCTACCAAAAGTACAAAAAATTAGCTGGGTGTGGTGGTGCATGCCTATGTCCCAGCTATTCGGGAGGCTGAAGTGGGAGGCAGAGGCTGCAGTGAGCCAAGACTGTCACTGCACTCTAGCCTGGATGAAGAGTGAAATCCCACATCAAAAATAAATAAATAAAAATAAAGTAAAAAATAAAACTATGGCAAGTCTGACAATGCCTAAGGGAAATCAAAGAACAATCAAGTAATTCTTTCTTAAGAAAGCTAGACTGAGTTAAAGGAAGACAAATGTAGAGAATACCAGATTTAAGAAAACAAATCAAAGATCTAGAAGTAGGTTATCAAAGTATTCCCAGAACGTAGCCCATTTACAATTCTTCCTTGACCATGAGTTTATTAAGGAAAAGTATATGTTATAAAGAAAAAAAAAATAGGGCTTGTGAACTTAGTAATCACTAAGTCTTTGATATGTCTGACAGGAGAAAACCATTGAGTTAACTACTATAGACACTAGGCAACTTACAGAAACATCTAGAATACAGATCTTCTGGTTCTCATTCTACTGTTCTGTCCTCCATATTTTCCCCATTATACAATGTAAAAATGTGAGTTACATGTCAAGTAGTTCAAATCCCAAGTTGTATTTAAAAATCAAATAGTAGCCATTAAAAATATTCATCATCTATACATACAGGTAGTGAAATATTCTATTTTTTTAAAGAAATAGTAGTAGTACCATAACTGCAAGAAAGATAATCAACAAAATTCTTAAAGAGAATTTGGCCAACACATTCAAAATATAAGCAAATAAAAATATTGGAAACACAGAGATTACTTCAGAAACAATTCTACTTAATTTCTTTAATAAATTACTGCTTAAATACTCTATCTCCCAAATGTATTTTTCCATTTCAAAAATTATTTCTAAAACAGAGTTATAATTTTAAAAGGCACTTACCATCCATATGACATACTGATTAATATAATCAGGATCACTGAGTTGATTTATTAATGGAAGAAGAATTCCTCGTGCAAGGATTTCCTGAAAAAAAAAAAGTAAAAAACAAAAACAAATTTAATCTATTTCTCAAATCAACAGCATAACGTAAATATTCCAACACAATGCTGTTACTTAAGAAAAGTATGATATACATGCAAGTAAAACTTGATAACCAACACAGTCTTATAAAAAGATGACTCTGCCTCAGTTTAGATAAATGAGATAAAGTTACCTGTATCAACTTGGACACATCTCCACAGTAACAACTGTGGAATGAAATAAAGCAAGATGATACCTCTAGTATGTTAGCATTGATGTCGATTTTAAAAAGACAAAATATAAGATTAACAGTGTTTATGGATTCATTTATCTTTATTAAAATTATAGAAACAGAAAAGGAAAGGAAAGGATACACACTGATTTTAGAACTGCTTCCAAGGGAGGAAACAGAGCAACTATAGTACATTATCAACACTGGTTACATCTAGGTGATTGGTACATAAATGTCTACTGTATTATTCTCTATGCTTCTCTGTGTTTGAATAGTTTCCTAATAAACATTTTTAAAATAATAGATATGTTAATCGACTCGACATTCTCTAAAATCTACCTTCCCATTCTTTGCAGTTGTTTATGCTTCTATATATTAATATTCTGCCCTTCCTTTAAAAACTGACTGCAGAATCAATTACCCTGTTAAATAAAACTTGATCATTCCAACAGAAATATGCTTGAAATACTCATGCCCTGTATCTACAGCATTTATCACTTGATATTTTCTCTGTAATTATAAGTCTTACATTTTTCTAATAGATGGCAACTATCTAGGAACCCTCTATATGAGTGGAATTGGTCACTTATCTATTGAATTATTTATCCTCAAAAATATTTACCTTCCTCATCCCATCTTCTCAAGGTCATTGTTTTAAACAGGGCAGGCATTTGATAAATGAATAGAAAAAAAGAAACTAAGAATTTAGTACTGATTCTATAAATACAATGATTTCACCTGGTATTACCCTTTAGTGCCAGTAATATATAAATTTATGAAACCTAATTTCTTAAGAATATTAGGGGAGATTAAATAACAATAAGCTTAACAGGATGTTTAATTTTTCTAATTAAAGGATCATTTTCTCTTCCCAGATCTCTAATTTATTTGTGCCATTTTCTCGTGTAAGTTCACAGAAGGTGGTCTTTATTTTTAGTAAGCTGTACAAGTCTCTTTTGTAAGCTATACAAGTCTCTGCCAACCATTACCCCCATGATGAATCAGTATTTCCAAAACGCTGATTTGGAGGCGCCAGTAATTTTCTGAAATGTCTTTGGAGACACTTCACAGTCTGAAATGACAAAAAATGGCTTCTTTCAAGGTTAGTTTTAGTCTCCTACTTCTTTAAAATTGTATTTGTGTATGTAATTCCTTCCTTCAAACTATGTCTCCGGTCACATGTTCAAATTTTAAAATGTACTTTGTTAGGAGAAAATTCACACACACACACACACACACACACGCACACTTTTTCAAATGTTTCTTTTCAAAAGGAGAAAAAAACACCTGGGGAAAATTTCTGATTAAATTATGTCTTTCTTATTAGTTGGTGTAATTAGTCGATTTGTACTAGAAAACTCCTAATCTGTCACATTAAAGGGTTTGGTTAGTCAAGGGCTAATCATATGACTCAAGGTCCTAGTGAGAGCTCTAAATATTCCAAGCAAGTAGCCACTTCCACATAATTCCTACTTTAAGATCCCCAATTTTTAGAAGACAGCACTGTTTGTCAAACATGGGGCCTAAAAGATACAAAGTCATTGAAGCCATATGTTAAAGGAATAAAACATAGTAATGGCAAGAAAGTAGAGGCAATTAAATAGCAATTATCTTAAATACAGTGACTTACACAATCTATACAAAGTATCCGTACAAAGAAAATTAAAACTCTTTCATCTGTTATTTAATCTAAACAAAATATCTTCTGAGAAATCTTAGAATTACTGACAAAAGAAAACAAAGAAAGAGCTAAAGGAAAAAAACTGACTTGCTAAATGCATGGTCTGTAATTATCCTCGCTCAATTAGATTCAACCAAAAAGAAATAAAATACTGGCCTAAAAGAGAAATTTATTATAAAAAAAAAAGTGCTCATTAAAATCCTACCTATTTTAAATAATCTCATGTAACAAGGAGATTTTCATTTGTGGCTCTTAGGAGTCAACTTAATCTTCAAGAAGCTGCAATAGCACATGCACCACAGCCAGCAAGATGGTAAATGGGTTTCCTTTTGCAATAAAACTGATTGTCTGACTGAGCATCTGCTATGTGCCAGTTATTATGTTAAGCACTAAGTATATATTTATGATAAATACAGATATAGTCTCTGTCCTCATTAGAGTTACAATTCATCTGGGAGAAAGAGGTACCAAATTAACAACCAAATTACCATCTTAAAATATGGTAAATGCTATGAAGGAAAACAATTGGATGTTATCGATAATAACAGGGAATTATGAGGGAGATTTAGATTGGGTGGTCAGGGTGGGCATCTCTAAGGAAGTGACATGAAGTGAGATGAAGAATGAATACAATTTAGCTGACAGAATAAGAGGAATCGGTTTTTTGTTTTTTTGTTTTTTTTTTTTCCTGAGATGGAGTCTCGCTCTGTCACCCAGGCTGGAGTCCAGTGGCGTGATCTCAGCTCACTGCAAGCTCCGCCTCCCGGATTCACGCCATTCTCCTGCCTCAGCCTCCCAAGTAGCTGGGACTACAGGTGCCCACCACCACGCCCGGCTAATTTTTTTGTATTTTTAGTAGAGACGAGGTTTCACCGTGTTAGCCAGGATGGTCTAGATCTCTTGACCTCGTGATCCGCCCACCTTGGCCTCCCGAAGTGCTGGGATTACAGGCGTGAGCCACCGCGCCCGGCCGAAGAATCATTCTTAACAGAGAAAAAAAGGACATTAGAGAAGCAGGGAGAAAAATGGCACTTTTGGGGGAAAATGCCAGTGTGGCTAGAGTATAGTGACCACTAACAAAGACTATCCTTGACCAAACTTAGGCTCCTCTGAATCCTCCACCCATTTACACCCTAACCTTTGAGTTTCCATGTCTGTTCATCTTTTCATTGTTGTTTTAGCAAGAATTCTATCAAGTGGGTTTAGACAGACCTCCCTCACCCTAAATTCCTCAGTCCCCACCCTTTGTGTCTGAATATCCCAGCCTGCTCTCAACAAGAATCCTATTAAGTCTGTTTACCCATAATTCCCACTTACACCTGATGTTTCCTTTCAGTAATTTGCCATCCACTGATCCCTGGCCTGCTCCTTGGCTATAAATCCCAACTTGTTCTTGTTGTATTCAGAATTGAGATCAATTCTATACCGAGGTCACATTTCCCCTACTGCAACAGTTGCTAGATAAGGTCTGTTTTTTAGTACACTTTACTGTCCAGCTCCGGTTTTCCTTGACATTGCTTGGCATGAAGGCTAGAGAGGTAAATAAAGCCACACTACGTGCAAACCTGTAAGCCTCTTGGAGGACTTGAGATCTGAAAAATTTACTAGATGATCATACCACTTACTAGGATGGAGAGAAGACTAAAAGGCAGACAGGATATGGATGTAAGAATAAGACTTCCACTTTGGACATTTAAGTTTTAAAAAGCTATGAGTCACTCTAGTGATGACTTCAAGAGGGCAGCTCAGAGTTGCCCGGAGCTCAGAAGGTAAATATGAAATAAAGCTATAAATTTCAAACTCATTAGCATTTGGAAGGTGTTTCAAGCCACAGTAATGGATGAGCAAGAAAAAGTCCTGGGATTTAAGATCTTGAATATTCAAAATTTAAGCAGAAGAGAAGTTAAGGGGTATAAACATGACTAAAAAGGAAAACAAAGGTGACTAAAAATGAGACCAGTGACATGAAAGAAAAGAGAAAATAGAGTTTCAAAAAGGAAAAGATGGCAAGACATGCAAAATGATGCTGAGATTCCACATAACAGTAGCTGGCTGGAGTATTATGGAAACAGATTATTATGCCAAATGGATATTCTGCATGAACAAGTGCTATACCTGATTAGTACTATCTTCCTTCAGTGGCAGATATGAATCTAGTGATAGACATCCAGGTACTTGTCACCCTTGATAAAGACCAGCTCAAATAATTGGCCTTAACAATATATAATAAGGCTCCTCCCATCAACACTAAGCACTTTCTATTACTTCACGTAAGTACCATTAACATACCTGAGAAGTACACTGAACTCAAGCTAGGTAGACGTTAGGAAATTGTATGGTATTGCTTATAAACAATACCATACAAGCATAAAAGCAAGTCTCAGGATTTGTTATCTATTTTGCAGATACAGATATCTGTATCTATGATCTCTTTAGTTTGTCTAAAGAGTAAAGAGATCATAAGCTTTCGTTTTTAGGAAAATTCAAAACTTTCATTTCACCCATTCAACCAGGACATGGTCTTATGTAGCTAGCATTTCTAAATCATTACCAGCAGCCAAAGGCAAATGTTATTCCTTTAAATTTACACACAGAGCTTTACTCTGAAGGTTTATACTCAGGGAATAAAGAGTCCAAGACTACTATTCTCATCTGACATTAATTTTCCAATTACAAAAAAACATAATCTTAACTGCACAGTTTTTAAAGTTTCTGTCCAAAAATGTTATTTTTATCTAACCTGATTTAGATAACACTAGGGTATAAGAAAATTTAAAACAAACTTTTGTCATAACCAAAAACCAAAGCACCTATCAGCCAGAGACTCCTGGGGGATTGGGGGGAGGTTTCCATGAACCTGAAGTTCCCCTAGAAGCTTGGGTTTCAGGTGACCCTTTCAACACCATTTTCATAATAATGCTAAGACATTATTTAACTTTTCACTCTTGTTCTTTCATGTACATACAGTGACCTTTACAAAAGTTACATGATGCTATGATGCTCTATCTATGTATCAGGTAATGAAATATATGCTTGTATATTTTCATGTTTTAAAAATTTCTTAGTTTTCACTTATAATATGTAAATATTTTAAAGAAAACCAACATAAACAAAAGCTCTTTAGAGTTTTCAATAAATTTTATGAGTGTAACAGGGTCTTAAGACCAAAAATTTTGAAAACTGCTGCTCTACGTTTTTTTACAGGTATGATTTGGTATGAGTTTAAGCTTACCCTGACAAAGTATCGCATGATCTTGTTCTGGAAATCTCCAGGAGGTAGCAATAAATATAATAAGACCTCACACAAATCCCTTAGGAATCCTAAAAATAGAAAAAGTAGCTATCATAACATTAGAAAATATAAAGTCTACACTTACTCTTGATATATAAGGTACATAAAAAAGGTGGAAATAAGCAGTTCTCTGCCTAAAATGGCTTATTATTTTAGTAATTAGTACACATTAGTATTCATTAAAAATTCCTTCATTATTCTTCAAGTAGTAACTATTCATTAATCAACTTAATTGTTTTTTAATTTTGCTGTTTTAACCAGTTTTTTGAATCATAAAAAATTTCATTACAAGTCTTTTCTCCCAAAATAGTTTTAGATGGACCAGGTACTTTGTAATTCTACCACACATTAATTAGCTTTCCATACTTAAAAGTTATTCACACATTTTAAAATATAGCTGTAATTCTTCTTTCAAAGAAAAACCTCCACCATCTCAGCAGGCTATAACAAAGGAAAAAAAGAGTATGCTTGTCTACTCTGCTGATTTAAGAGAGCTCAACTTACATAAAACTATTGCACATCAGTATATCTATGAGTTACATTCTAAGTTACTATAATACAAATTGACCCTTGAACAAAGAGTCTGAATTGCTTAGGCCCACTTTTATGTGGATTTTTTTCAGTAAATAAATTAGAAAATTTTTTAGAGATTTGTGACTATTTAAAAAACTCAGAGATGAACCGCATAGCCTAGAAATATAAAAAAAAATTAAGAAAAAGGTATGCCATGAATGCATAAAATATGTGCAGATACTAGTCTATGTGTTACTCAATTTTTTACATTATTGGTAAGGGTTATGGTTAACAGTGGGCTGTTAGTATTTAAGTTTTGGGGGGACAAAAGTTATGCACAGAATTCTGTCTGCACAGGGGGTCAGTACCCCCAACCCTCTCACTGTTCAAGTGTCAACTATATTTCTTAACAGTGCTAATAAACTGGCCATTAAAAGCTGAACTATACAATAAAAATAAAAAGAAAAGGGAAAAGAAAGGAAATAAATAAAAATATTTAAAACATTTTCAAAATCTAAGAAAACAATTTCCACAACTAGAAGAGCTTTTCTATCGTTGTTCCTGTGCTGACACTTCCTGGGAATATAATTGCATAAGTGATTCTCTTAATTTAAAACTGTGCCAATTAACAAAGACTTAATACGTGCAAAACTGGGAAAAGATAACGTCCTTAGCTAAAACTTGTCTAGTGTAAACTCCTACAAATAAAAGACAAGCCCGTTGAAATCTATAAATTTGGCCGGGCGCGGTGGCTCAAGCCTGTAATCCCAGCACTTTGGGAGGCCAAGACGGGCGGATCACGAGGTCAGGAGATCGAGACCATCCTGGCTAACACGGTGAAACCCCGTCTCTACTAAAAAATACAAAAAACTAGCCGGGCGAGGTGGCGGGTGCCTGTAGTCCCAGCTACTCAGGAAGCTGAGGCAGGAGAATGGCATACACCCAGGAGGCGGAGCTTGCAGTGAGCTGAGATCCGGCCACTGCACTCCAGCCTGGGCCACAGAGCGAGACTCCGTCTCAAAAAAAAAAAAAAAAGAAATCTATAAATTTTATTTGAAATCACTATATTCATTCCCTTAGGAAATATTTTATGGTAACAGGTATACTTCTGAAGCAAAAATAATAAATTCAAGAGGAAGAGAAATCACTACAGATAAAAAAAAATCCAATTATAAAATGTTTATGTTTGCTATATTTTAAAAGTAGATTGATAATTTCTTTTCTTTTTTTTAGACAGGGTCTCACTCTCGTCACTCAGGCTGGAGTGCAGTGGCATGATCACAGGTCACTGCAGTCTTGACTTCCCAGGCTCCAGTGATTCTCCCACCTCAGCCTCCTGAATAGCTGGGACTAAAGGTGTGCACCATCACAGCCAGCTAAAGTTTCGTACTTTTAGTAGAGACAGGGTTTTGCCATGTTGCCTAGGCTGGTCTTGAACTCCTGGGCTCAAGCAATCCAGGCCCTTCGGCCTCCCAAAATACTGGGATTACAGGCGTGAGCCACTGCACCCAGCCAGGACCAGTTAATTATTAAAGATGGCCTTTAAAGAAGAAAACAGAATCTGGAAACTACTTTTAAGAATTACAAAATAAAATAAAATGAATAGCATCTTTACTATGCTACCTGCCCAAAGTAAGAATAATTTTACCCTTAAGATTTGTTCACTGGTTCTGCTAACTTGACTCTAGCCAGTTACTATTGTCAAAAAAGTTAAATTGAAAGAAAACCTTCTTCATCTTTGGGGGAAGTGCACACTAGATCACGGCAAACCTCCTTTTCCATTTCAACTTCAACTTCAAAGAAGGTATCTACAAGATCTTCTGCTGTACCTGAAGAAAAACAATTCAAGATATATAAAATGATAAAAGGAAAACAGATTTTTAAATCCTAGTTTTCAAATGGAATAAAGATATTACCTTTTACTTGATCATCTTTCTCTGTTATTTTCTGTTGAGCCTTTCTGAATACTCGTAAGTGTGTGCCAAAATCATCTACAATGCGTGTAGTAAAATAAGGTTGCCAGTCTATTTCTTTTGACCTTATAAAAAACACATTACATAAAAGAATTATATAAATGCTTTATCAGAAAATATAAATTCATTTTAATGACTACTGACAACATGATTGTCTGAGACTGTAAATTTAAATTGAGATTTTCATTATTGCCTGTTAGTATTGTTTCACAAGATCCAAAGTAAATCTTCACTAAGTCTTCTAACAATATTACTTGAATTATTTCATGTGCCAAAGTTTAAAACTACTATCTAAATGCTTAAAATAGTAAAAGAAATTAATTTTTTTCCAGTTAAATTTGAAGTGAATCTGATAACAGTGTATCATGTAATTTCTCAGCCCCAACATAAGAATACATAAGGAATTCTGAATAGTTTTGTTTGCTTTTAAAAGAGCATTTCAAACATTTCTTGGTTTCTTCTGAATTGTTTCTGAATTCTCCACATTCGTCTTTTTAGCGATGCAACACATGTTCTGAACGTTCTGTTTGAATACACTAGCACTTAAAAACTTGGCCATGGTCAGGCACAGTGGCTCACACCTGTAATCCCAACACTTTGGGAGACTGAGGCAGGAGGATCACTTGAGTCCAGAAGTTCAAGACCAGCCTAGTTGACATGGTGAAACTATCTCTACAAAAATTAGCCAGGCATGGTGGCATGCACCTATAGTCCCAGCTGCTAGGGAGGGTGAAGTGGGAGGATCACCTGAGCCCAGGAGGTCAACGCTGCTGTGACCACACCACTGCATTCGAGCCTGGGTAACAGAGCTATCTCACCAACAACAACAACAAAAAAAAGCCTTAACCATTAGAAATAACTAATTAAACGAATGGTTTAAAGAATGATGTAAAATATCACACATATAAAAGCCTTTAGAATACTGATGAAAAAGGTAATTACTAATTTTAGGAAGTCACCAAGTACTCCATCTCAAAAGCAACAGACCTCAAAAGATACTGTTAATTCAGTATACCAGTGAAACAGGTAAAAAACACAATAGATAACTCAAAAACAATTTATATCTCTCCTTGGACTGCGTGACTTTTTAATATAATGTTCTTTTTCATAAAATCGCACTAAAATTAATTCACCCTTTCAGGAACATACCAAGTAGATAGAAAACAAAGAGTCTATTCGGGAAGATGCTGGACAATGGAGGAACCAAAAAAGTACACCGTAACTCATTCTGGTAATTACCCAAACATACAATAAAGAGGCTAGTGAAGAAGCTGACTTAATTACTGTAACTTTTTTTGGGGGGAAAAAACCCTTAAAGAGTATGATATTGAAAAATAAATGGCTGTTTTCAAGTAAAAAATAAGTTATTAACACTAAGGCACAACTATGGTTTGTTTGTATACATGAAACTAAAGAGAAAGCCATAAGTATATGAACAGGAAAACAAATCAACACAAAAAGGTGGATCCCTAAGCTCAGTAATCCGAGGAAGAATTAATTAACATTATATAGACTATAAGAGCCAAGCATATAAGCATATAACTAAACTTGGTAACAATATTCAGTCTCAACATAAAACCTAAAATAAAAATTTAAACCTAACAGTCTCTAGAATCTCTTTTTTCTTATTTAAAAAAAAAAATCACAATCTGTATAAGCATCTTTCAAAAATCTTTATATGAATATTTATTCAAAATCATCCATACTTGAAAATTTTATAAAAACAAAATTTACTTAGTATAGGCCATAGCTCATTTAATCCATAAAAGGTTCATTCTGACAAACTTAGAAGAAAGCAGAATATATAATCTTTCAAGTTACATCTGTCCTGTTTCATGGTACAATGCTGTTTATTTAATTTACTGAAACTTTCAAACAAAATAAAATTTACCAATTTAGAAGGCATTTTAAATCCATCTTGATTCATTATAGAGGACATAATCACATTTTAAACGAACAAAATTATCAAGCAATGCAAATACATACAAATTATTTCAAATTTGATGTACAGATTTCTATTTTCAATACAGAAATATGTTGAGGGTAGGAAAAATAGGAAAAACAGTACAGATATCCTATATCTCTTTCTGAGGTTATTATTTTCCTTCTGCTTGACTTATTTCCACTGACTTCATGCAAACTTAATATAAATCTCAAAAGAACTTTCTAGATTAGGAAGAACAATAGCACACTGCTTCCCATTTATAAATTAGAAGGATATATATTAAAAATTTCTAGTAAAGTTTGTCTTAACAAAATTGGAAAATATTTTGATGACAGTGAAGTACCTTCTAAAATCATGACATGATAAATATGTAATAAATGCAATGTGAAAATAAGTAAGAAATATTTCATTATGTAATAGCCATACTTCTACTGCATCTACTACATAGCTTTCTAGTAGAGCTCTTAATATCAATTCTTCTTACATTATGCCAACAGTCAAAACTCTTTTTCACTTTGCTTAAAATATTCCCCCATATAATTCTTAGTCTAGTAAAACAACCGGGCTATTACATAACTCATCTTATTACCGACATTTGAGTTTTATTATTATTACTAATAAGCTGTAATTTCTTGAATTTAAAAATAAAAGAACATAATCCCTATATGACCAAAAAAAGTGATACAATTAACCCTAGCCTGAAAAAATTTACAGTAGGCCCCTGAAGCTTATGTATCTTGACAGAATGGTTGCAATAAAGAATTAAGAAGGTTAATTAGGAATGCAAACAAGTAATGAAATTTTAATTGAAAGCACAAAAGCAAAACAAAACTATAAAGTATGTCTCTCTGAACATAAATTTTGCAAGCCCTTATCTCTGTCTCTAATGCTACCATCCTATCCCTCGCCACCATTCTACTTATAGGTCTCCCACATCCACTGTCTCCCTTGCATTCCAATTTCCATAAAGCAGTCAAATTTTTAAAATAGGATATATACAGCTTTAAAACTGCAATAACACCCCATTATTATTAGAGCTAAGCACAAACACCTTCTCTAAGATCTTTCTTACCGGAGAGCCCTTGTGTATTTCCTCCTCATCACCATCTATCTCACCTTCTCCCTGCCTCTTTGTTATGCAGATCCACAGGCTTTCTTTCCATTTGTCAAATGCTAATACGCCCCTTATACTCTCAGTGCCTCTGGACAGACTATTCCCTCCCCTACATTTGCTTGGCACTGCCTACTCTCCATAAATTTTCCTCTCCCCCCATTCACTTGACAATTCCCACTTATACATTAAAGTTTATCTAAAACGTCAATTCCACATGCCAGCCCTCATTGACCCCCATCCTCTCCACTATTCCTTCAGACTAGGTCCTGTCTCCAGTCATGCATTCTACCAAACTTTCCACTTTTTATAGCTCTTACAAGCTACAGTTGAATTATTTGCTGTTAGAATATTAATCTCAGTAAGGCACGGATTGACTGGGTCTGTTTTTTGTTATTGCAGTTGTTGGTTTGTTTAAATAGAGTCTCACTATGTTGTCCAGGCTGCATTCACAGTGCAGCCTCAAACTCCTAGGCTCAAGTGATCCTCTTACTTCAGCCTTCTGAGTAGCTGGGAGTACAGGCACATACCACTGCACTCAGCCAACTGTGTTTGTTTTATTCATAGTTGTATCCCCCGTGGAAAAGTAATGTTTCAAATATTATTGGAGGCACTCAATGCACACTGATTTATTGATTCCTTTTTCAGGGTTAGAGCACTGTTTACGATGGATGTTTGGAGAATGGCAACAGTAGGCACAAACAACAATTGCTTCCTTATTCCCTGAAGTGTTAAAGTAGAATATGTACTGAGAAGCTCTTTTTGACTCACGGCTACTTAATGCCAATGCCTTAAAAAGGCAAGTAAAGTCCCAAATATGTGTGAGTTTAGAATTATAAATTGCCTCACTTGTTCCATCTATTCTAAGCAGTGTACAGCTCATCATCAGTAACACAAAACACGACCAAAATCAAGTATTTCTGGAAAATGCACTGGACTGGCACAGATGCCATTGATTCGAACAAAAGTCTTCCCCAAATGATGGGTCTTTTACTCAAATCAAAGGCATATGTGCCAGTCTATGAAATTCAGCAAGTCACATCATTTCTCAAAGTTTGTTTTCTCTAACAACACTTATTATATCTTTGAGTCTATGATTGATTATATTAGCTACATAAAACCACACATACACATACGCATACACATACGCATACACATACACATACACATACACATACACATACACATACACACACACAGGGACAGAGTGTATAAAAAACTGGTAATTGGGCAGTAGGTAAATTTAAATATTTGATCAAAAGAGGGAGTCATGAATATATTTCACTTTAACTTCAATGATATAAATCTTCCTGTGTAGGACTAAGATTTATTCTTTGGTTAAGGCTCTGCTGAGTGGTATGTAACATGCCTTGGGTCTTGAAAAAACTACAAACTGTTCCCACACTGCAAAACCTATGGTGTCCAGTTTCTTTAAAATGGCAAGGGAATAAAGACATTTGTGAACAAATCTGCATGAAGAGTCCTTGAAGACTTTCAAATTTCATACTTGCCTTTCACTCACTTAATTCAACTACAATCTTCCACCAGCTTTGAGTAATTCCAAAGCAAGTGACTTGGTTTTCATAGAAACTACCCTGTCATATTCATATTTCTTCAATCTAAGTTGAGTGTTAATTAAACCACCTGATTATCATAAAAAAGTGTAACTGGGATATATGGGCTCAGAAACAAATACAACTTTTTTTTCAACGTGTTTGATTATCTGTCTCCTCTAAATCACCAATGTTCAGGTCACACCACAGACTAACTGTATCAGATTTTCTGGAGGTGGGGTCCAGGCATCACACAACTGACTTTTGATAAGCATAAAACTCAAAGGGTGGAAACAGAAGTGGATAGATGTAATAAAGCCTAGTCTTAAGGTTATCAGTCATTATAGCATACAAAGGGAATGGAGAGCACTGGCTAACTAACATCAGTTAAGAGAACTTTCACTGCAATAGCACAGAATTGGAACCATTTCAAAATCAGCTTAAAATTTTGTTGAC